GAGGATGGGGCATAATTTTTTTCATCAAGAAAAGCTTTCCTGGCTTAACATGGAAATATAATGTGTGAACAGAGTCTTAAAATCAATATACCATGAATTAGCAGTCAGCAGAGAACAGCCAGATGACAAGGGGAATATGATTCATTTCTTAGAATGACTAAGATCTCAGGCAGCTTGAGCTTGCTGAGCAGCATATTTGGAGGCTGTGAATAGAGTTAAAAGAAATTCCTTTAATTTCATCTGGAAGCGTGTTTATGACAGACGTAAAGCACTTGAATTCGACTGAGGATTTCCTCTTGTGCTGCTGTCTTCCTGACTCTGCTCTTTACAGCTGTTCTTTAAACCAGCTAAGCCAGTCCTCTTACACCTTAACACATGACAGGGAAGTTTCTAGTTCTAGATGAGTAATTGGATAACCCAACATGACAATGCAATGATAATGAAGAGGAAAGGATCCCCAAAATAATCAGATCCTCTTTCAGGCATTTAAAAGAAAATGCCTTTTGATGTGTTTCAAAAGACATTTGGATGCCTTATTCTCTTTCTTTCAGCTTAAAAAATTACAGTTTGGTCAGCAGAAGAACAACATCCATAGGTGTTCTAGATGCAAATGAATGTGGATTGCCTTAATATGGGAAGTGACAGCCCCTGGCATTTCTCTGAATATTAATGCTGAATCAAATGGAGAAATCATTATGGCTGATGGTTTTGGTTATTAAGTTTCAAATGTCAGAAGCCTGAGTTTAAGTTTTCACGACAGCAACAAATGGTTTTGGGTTTTGTTGGGAGTTTTTTTTAATTCTTAATTTTCAATTTAAATTCAAATTTCAGCTTTTTTTTCTTTCTTATTTTGGGGGCTTTCAGACTGTCCAGGAACTTTTATTTTTAGTAGGTTGGGAGAAATCTTAAACCAACTTTGAACTGGGAGCAAACTCCCCTTGTCTGCAATAGCAGGTAGCACCTTTTCTTTGTGCGCAGGCAGCCTGTGTCTCTCTTTCTCCTATGATCACATAGCACAACCTTTTCAGAGGAGCTCATGGCCAGTTGAGTGCTCCCAGCCCAGGCCACATTTTCAGAGCTGCATCCTGCAGTTCCTGCTGTGTGTTTACAGGCAGGCATTCAGCAAAGCTTCAAGCTGTTGAGTTCTCTTGCAAACCTGGCCATGTATTTCTGTGTCAGGTTTGGAGGGAAAAAACCAGGTGCTGCTGCTCTGTGGTTGAGCTCTTGTGCCATTCCTGACCTTCGGGGACATGTCTGCAGGTTCTGGTGGTGCACATGTCAGGACTTCAAGCTGTCAGAAAGGTTTGAAGGTCTGGTCTGGCATGGAAGTGGGTCTTTAAGGACACTAAAGACTTTGGCATAAGGCTGGCCCCAGTCAATGAAAGGTGTGCTTTTGTGTGCCATGAATTTACAGCCAGACAGCCAGGCCCATATGTAGGTGTAAACCTGCTCTGTTAAACTCAAAATCAAAATCTTAATTTTCTAGGGCATGTCTTTTCCTTCTCTAGCAAAGTGCCACTTACTAGCAGCCTCCTGGTTCTGCAAGAGCAGTGGTGGCCCTTGCTGCAGTATGCCTCACTGAACCCTGTGATGAAAAGAAGGTCTGAGGGTCAGATTTAAAGAGAGGGATGAACTTGAGCTCAGAGAGAAGCACTCCTGATGGTGCAGATTAGAATTCACATCTCCTTGTGCAGAGTCTTGAGAGACAACCATGTTTGGCAGCAGAAGGGAGTTCAAGGTGAAGCATCTGTTGAGAACAGGGAGGGAGATTCTGGATGTCCATCAGAGATTAGTAACTCAGTAACCTCAGCAGGAAGCCTGAGAGGTACAACCACAACACGCTGTGATTTAGCCTCTTATTCCTCAGCCTTCCCATGCAGAGCATCCAGCCGTACGGAGTGGACCTGGCTGCTGTGCCTGGTGTGAGCTCCAGCACGGGGAGGTGCCAATGACTTCTGCAGAGCTGCAGACCCTCCCACATCAGCACTTCTTCAACCCCACTGGTTTTGCTGTGAGTGGTAGCAGATCCCAACCTGCATACCCTCCAAGGGAGGGCCCCGGGTGGCTGTGCACGTGCAAAGTGTCAGCTCTGCTTTTGGGATAACGTATTCAGAAGCACCTAAGTGACTTAGAAGCCCAAGTCCCCGGCAGTTTTGGCTTCTGTGCAGTCTCCAAATTGCTTTGACTTCCAGAAAGACTGGAGCTATTCAGATGTTTATTCACTTCTAAAAACATTCTCTCTGGTGTTTAACAAATAACAGTGTATTCCTTTTTCAGGGGACTACAGTGAGCTAAACAGCCCAGTTCTCTTGAGTAACGCAGAGGGGAACTGAAGGCCTGTCCCCTGCTCGTTGAACTTACTTTGATGGAAAACGTGCAGGGTTTTTTCAGGACTCCTGAAGTTCCTTGTTCAGGTGCCTGCTCCCCATTTGAATTAGGGTTTTCTCCTCCCTTTTCTAATACTTCTGACTTTTAATTTGGGGGGGGGTGAAGGGGAACGGCTGTTTCTTTGCCATTTATTGTGGCAGAGAAGGGGGGATGGAGACCAGCTTTCTTGGACTCTTATATTCAAAATGCCTATAAATAATTAGTTGCAGGGACCTAGCTTCCCCCTCCTTTTAAGGCCTAATTTAAGTTCTTTATCAAAATGATTTAAAATGCCTTTCTCAGTAGGAAACTATATTTCAGAGCTTTTATTTATTAGACTTCTCAAAAAAGTGTGTTTTTAATGCACATCCTGACTTGCTGCCAAAACTGTCCACTGTAACATCGGGACTGGAGCAACCCGTGGTATGGGGATTTATATTTATTAGATTTTTACATATTGGTACAGAGCAATTAATCTAAATCAATCATAGACAGAATTGGCACATAAATCTCCCAGTCTTCACTACTCATTGTGCTGTGTTACTGCCCTGACAACCTTCCCTCAAATACAGAAAATCTTTTCTCTTTTTCTAGTCCTCTTCAAGTGTCAGTAATTTTCCTGTGCTGCAGTTTGGTGGTGGTTGTTGTGAGTTTGGGCTGTGGGCTTTGTTGCATTACATAGGAACCAAAGAGCTTTCAGCATTTGGAAGTAGAGCAAACAGCCTCAAACTCTGCAAGATATACGAGGATCATAAAGTAGTAAAGCAAAGGCAGATTTCCTGGTAGATGGTTGAATATCTGAACATTTGAGCCTTATGAGCCCCTTATAGCACTGAGAGGAGATTACTTCCTTCTGGTTTAAAAAGTACAACATTTCTTGTGCTCGATGGTGAGTTTGAAGAGGTCAGTTTGCTTCAGTAGTTTCAGGACTCCCAGCCTGTGTGTGTGTGTATATGTGTGCGTGTAGATCAGACCCATCCATTCTGGGATACCCTCTATCCCTTTCCCAAATTGCTTCCTGCTTTCCGAGCAGAAGTGGCGTATGAGGCAGTCTGGGCCTAATTACTTTAAGCAAATACAAAACCATAAACCAGGTTGTGCATGGCTGTGATTCAGTGTAACCCTCTGGCAATTTACACCAGCGAAAGCTCTGCCCGGCTCTGTTTTGAATACCTCTCATTACACATCCCGGGGATGTGACAGCCTTCTCCAAAAACTAAAGTTCAGTCTTTCCTAGTGATGGTTTAAGAGCTGTGGCTTTCCAAAGGGATTTTGTAGTACTGGGGACCATCACTCCAGAGGCTCTGGTGTTTCTGACGAAAGGGCTCTGACATCCAGGCAGTACTCTTGAAAGTTCAGAGTTTGGAAAGTGGGAGCTCTGTAAGGAATCATTACAATAAAAGGTAGAACAGATTCTAGCAAGTGTTCAATCACTCAGCATGGTGCCACTTAGAGGCAGAAGACCTTAAAACAACCAGCAAGATGTCTGCAGAAGAAACCTCTGCTGCCAGCTCTCGGCACTCTGTATCCTGTCATTTGGTGCCTTTCATCTTGGGTAAGTTCTGCACATGGGCTACAGTGCAGGCTGGGTCAGCGATCAGAGCCTGGGCACTGCTGCTGAGGCTCAGTTCAGATGTCACTTGGGAAAGGGTTTGCTTGTGCAGTGCACTGAATAAAGCCAGGTCTCAGGAAACGCTGGGGGCTAATAGCTTGCATTGAACCCCACTGCATAACCAACTGCTCCTCATATGGGTTTGGCTGCAAGGTAGGAGCAGTGGCTGGTGCAGATGGGCCTGTTCAGCTCTTCTGGCCCCCTTCAGGGGGTCAGGTTTTGGAACTCAGGATTTGAGGGCAAGATTTCCACCTGCATTGCTCAGGGAGACACTGGTCACAGCCTTGGAGATACAGGGGTCCCATCTCCTGCAGGACAGCAACCATGGAATGTCAGTGGGCCAGTCATGAGAGCAGGGATGGAAAAAAAGACATCAGGATGTTTCTTTATAGTGTCCACTGTTAATCTGTGAAGCTCAAAATGCCTCCAAGCTGAACATTTTATTCCTGTAGTTGAACTATTTGAATTAGCCTGTGTTTAGAGGATCAGTTCAGAGGTCTCACAGGGCAACATCTAGCCAAACACTTCCTCTGATATGTGAAATGGGTTAATCCTTTCTTTGAACTATGTCAGAGCCACTTCCATCCTTTTATTCAGTAGAAGAAAATAGAAGATGTCTGATTAAATGCTAAGATAATTTTCCTGACTGAAAAGCCAGTATATGAGGATGCTTAATTTAGAAAGGGGGGAAACTGAGGCACGAAGGAGCCATCAGTGACACTGCTGTCAGCGTTCACCTCTGAACGCTGACAGCTCTGGTGTCCAACTCCAAGACCTGTCACTGGGAGAACGTTTAGGGAAAAAAACCCAAACAAGGACACCCTCCTCTTGTAACAACCCCTTTGTATAAACTACGCCTATGGGAGAAGGGGATACTCCAGCCCTGCTCACTGTCAGTGTGACTTACGTTGTACCAGCAGTTCATGGGTTTATGGGGAACTGCTTCTAAAGGGGTGATAGGACTAATTTGAAAACTCAGCTCTAAATGCACTTGAACAAGGGGAATTCAACTCTGCTGCTCTTTGTGTTAAGTAGTTTTATTCATAAAGTGAATAAACACATGCAGCTAAAGAGCAGTAGGTACCCCAGGTAATGTTAATGAATGACTGACATTTCTCCAATTAAAGATTACATTCTACCTTTCAATTAATTCACAAAATGGCAGAATTCGTTTAAAACCCAAACTTCCCTCAGGAGAACAAATCTGTTTGGGTGCTCAACAAAAATTCTGGGTTTGATTTTTTTTCCCCTTGAAATAGATGTGAATGGCATGAAATATTTCTGTGTACTTTCAAGAATAATTGAAGCATATGTACCCAAAGTGTAAGACTTTTGCAAACTGGTTTCAGACTAAATTATCCATTATATGAGACTAACACATAAAAGCCTTCCTCTACATCAAGTGGTAGATCAAAGGGAGGAACGATGGCTTGTCCACATGCATAAACCCCACCTCTCAAATTCTGAGAACAAGGATATGCAGTCTGCATTTTAACTACATCTCCATGACATGAAACGCTATTCCTGTGTCTCCTACTGCGGGAGAGTCAGGTAGTCCTGGCTACAAAGATTCCCTTTTACATTTCTCCCTTCTTTTTCTTGTTCCATCACACAGATGACATTTCAGTCACTAGTCCCGGGTGACTCTCATCTGAAAACTAAACTTCGCTCAGTTCCTCCCAGGGCAGTGGTGGAGTCTGTCAGGGAGCAGCGAGATCCTCAGTCCTTTCATGGTACATATGTGAACCCAAACCCCAGCCCTGCAGCCCAGGGAGTGGATGCTGGTGGAGATGTGCACCATGAACGCTGCTCTCTGCCTGTCCCATGGGTACCCATCTTCTTGTAGTGGTTGGAGCACAGGGTTATGAGTCAGAACATCTCCTTTGTACTGTCCGGTTTGTTGAACTCAGATGAATTTAAATCTTTCTGTGCTTCATTTTCCTATCTGCAAAATTAATCTGGTAATATTTCCACTCTTGTAGGGGTTCTTTAATTACTCTGTCTACCTAAACCCCTTTCCTTTGGGTGGATGCTGTGAGGGGGACAAATGCTGAGCGTTATTGCTGGTAAACACTAACAGATCACTCTATGATAAGGACCCAACACTCTCAGCTTTTGGCGTGTTTTGTTCTGAGTCTTTCTCACTACTTCTTTCTTTGTCCTAAGAAATATTATAAACTTAGCTATAAACTTCCTGGTTTAGTGGCATAATTAAAGATGCTTGTGCTTGAAATTTGACTGCAGTAGGAGACTGAAGATGTATAGTTTACATGCATGTCTAGATCTAGTCTCCCAGCCAGTAGATTGGATGTTAGCCCAATTACTCCCATTACCGTCTGGTTTCCGAGCATTGATGGACTACCATGATCAGAGAATAAATTCCTTAAAATAACCTCCCCTGGCTGAAATGTAAACGGCCTTTTTTATTATTGTCATGGCTGTTAAAAACGTGAAGTGCACTGGGGAGGTGCTGAGCTGAGGCACCAGAAGAAGAGGCTGTGATCATGGAGAGGCTGAAACTTCTCCTCTGATCATTTCTGACAGCTCCGAGTGGTTCTTCCACAATTGGAACCACTTGTGCTGCTTATTAATATAATGAAACTTATCCTCCAGCAAAAACAGAACCAAAGGTTGACACAAGAGTGGAGCAAGAGGCTGAAACCTGATCTGGTTAGGGATCTCTTAAAGATGATGGAAGACTAATAAAATCCAGTCTGTTTCCTACCTCCATTACAACTCCCACACCCAGTCTGTCTTCACGAGCTAAAGTGGAATAATGGCTCCTTCCAGAGCCAAGGCAACCCCCTGTTCTGCTTGAGAACAGCATCTGATGGTCTCTGGCAGCAGGGCCTGTTTTGGTACCTTCCCTTATCTGTGAAATTTTTCAGTTTGATTCCAGTGGGTGCTGGATGTGGCCTCTAAAATGCTTATTTCTTCAGGGATGGACTTTTATTTGATAGGGGGGGTTTAATTGTTTGAGGGGTTAAAAAGGGTTTCCACAGTAGTTCAGCAAAGCTCAGTATTTGATAGATCTTCATTGTAAAGATAAACATTAGTTAAGTGCAGAAAAACATTCATTTTTCCATTGGCAATAGGTTACAGCAGTAGTGAAACCTCTGCCTTTAAGAGGACTGCTCAACACCAGGAGATGTGGAGTGAAAAAATAACCCCAAACCTGAGGTCTTGAGACGTTTCAAGAAGTAGGTAGGGAAGCAGCTGAGCAGAACTGGGAGGTGAGCAGGGCAAAATGTCAGAGTTGATTTAACTCATTACATTTAAGTGGAAAATAGGGGATAAAAGTTTAGTTTAAGAAAAATTAAGGAAATACCCAAGAATGAGTTTACAAAGTGCAATATTTTCTCTCAAAGCCGTAGGGTTAGCAGGTTGGTATCCAGCATCTGTGACTGATTAGGGGCATTTGAGATGGCAGGTGGCTTTAGGAAATGGAAACCTTACAGGGCTTTGCAAACACTTTCTGTAGTTAGGCAAAGCTATTTGATTTATTCTCACTGGTTTTCATTGTATAGCCTGGTTTAAAATCTATCAACTTGTCTTAATCCATGTTAATATCTTCATATAGACATAGTGTTGTGTGAATTCTCCAAACAGATTCTTTAGAGTTGCCCTGGAGAATAACAGAGTTACTGGGTTTACACTTCCAAGGGCCGTGTTAAGGTGATGAACATAAATCATGGCATTTAAAAATGCCAACCAAATCTTTTAGACAGTAATGAGATCAAGAACCAGATCTGATCATGTTTGCTCCCGACAGTTTTAAAGAGATCTATAATTCAATGTACTTCCCTGCCGCGTGGTCATGCTGAAATTGCTTGCCTATGCTAAGAAGCCAAACCCCAAAAGAACCCCTCACCAGGCTTAAAAGGGTGCAGCCGGGTTGATCCACACCACTGCACATGGCAGCGTCACACAGCTGGAGAATGAGCAGGGAAAGGCAAACTTGCATCTGTTCTTGGCTCCGGTCAGGAGGCCACGAGCTCCTCTGAGGCTGTGCAAGACGCAGGGCCACAGAAGAGCTTACGCTTCTCCTCTTTTCATTTGGATGGGAACCAAAACTTATCTCTGGGAAGAAATATTTGGAAAAGAGGCTCAAGAGGGGAACATAAACCCCATGGGAAGTGGCTGGAGCTGCTTCACAAATCAAGCCCATACACAACTGGTTTCTTATAAAATGATAACAGTAGGTAAAACAGAATTTGCAGCTGCGAGCAGTACAACTGTAAGATGATTCAGGGCAGGTGGAGTTAAAAATTTCAATTAGCCTTCCCAAATAGCATTCCTGGGGAGTAACTCAAGGAGCAAATACTGCAGAAGCCCCAGCACAGGTTTGTTATTACTAGAGAAGAAAAATCAGCCTTTGGCCAAACCTTTCCATTATCTAATACTGTAAAACCATTCCTGCAGTGCTGTCTTGAGATGCTCTAACCTCGGCACTTGTCCAGGTCCGTTTCCAGCTCGGGATTGTGTGTGTGTCTGTGTGTGTTCTGCTGCAGATTTGTTTTAAATCACCCTTCCTGAAGCTCTCAGCATTCTGATTTACAGGATTTTACTAAGCTTCACCCAGCCTTTTCTTTTCTTTACGAAGTGTATGTTTTACTACTTTGTATTTTTTTTTCCAAAAAAAATAGATTTTATTGGACAGGGGTTCACATAGCTGCATAATGTTTGTCTTATGGATTTTGTATTAAACCACTTTAACACTTTTGTAGACCTGAGGAACTTGGCAAATACTGTGAGTGAAATGCCCTGAGCTTCATCTTGCATGCTTTGAACTGAGCATGCTGAACTTTGCCTAGTTACCGAGCTGACACGTGAGCAATCCATTTGCAATTCAGAGACGGAAAGAGAGAGGGGGCCTGATCCTGCTTTTACCAAAGCCAAAGGAAATCCTGCTGCTAAGTGCAGCAAGACCAGCAGCAAAATCATAATGACTATTTAAGATGATATTTCACAAGTACAGTAATGTGACAATCATGATGAAGTGGTGGTTTTTCCAGAGGCAGTGTCTGAATTAATAGGGTCTTTCCAACCTGCTCTCCTTGAAACAGGTTGCAAGAGGTAAAATAGAGAAATAAATAGTCTCTAGGGTACTTTCCCCTCGTCAGGATTTTTATTCATTCAATAAATAGCTGTTATATTTTGAGGTTTGGGGTTTGTTTTCTCATTGTTGTCATCTTCCTCTTCTTTATTGTAGCATGAGTAATCTAATTTTTCTGCATAGCATGTTGCAGTTTGATAGACAGGTCTCTGAGGGAAGCCTTATGTGTCAGCATCAGTGAAAATGACTTCTGAGGTTGGCTCACACCCCCACGCGAGCGTGGAATCCAAATCACCCCAGAGTGAGGCATCCGCTGCCCCACGCCTCGCTGCTGGGTAATGTATTCATTTGCCTCTGGCAAAAGAAGAGTGAGATCCTCCATCGCATGCTGATGCCATGTGGAAGAAGCCATAATTGGGACTGGTCACATGTTAAAGTAACTGCAAGCTGCTTTTTGCCGTCTGTGTAGATGAAGTTCACGTCCCTTGATCTGCACGTACAGACATCCCCTACTCTGAGTATGCGCACGGTTTGGAGACCCAGCAATTCCACACAGATTTCGCCAAAAAATAGGAAATGCAAACAGGCTGGAGCTCCCAGGGCTCTTTTCCAGGATTCAGTCCTAGTGGGAGGAGGTTTTACTGGGTTCCAATACTACTTTGGTTTGTCAGTAATTATTAATGACTTGTGCAATTGCATTCCCCACTTCAATCAAGGACAGAGGTTTCAAATCTAGCAAGAAAGCGTTCACAAATCAGCTCTCTGCCTGTTCTCTTTTCACAGGCAGATGCAGACAGGGGAAGAGGGAGTTTTTGCTTCAGGTGCGTATAAAGCATTACAGCTTGGCTTCTAAGGGGAGTCTTTGGGACTGAGCTTCCCAAGTTTCATGCCTCGTTCCCTCCTCTCAGCAATACACCTTAAATAATTTGGCTCCCTAGTATTTTAGATCTGCATGGGAAGCCCACTGAGTGGACAGAAGATTTCAAGGGATTCATCTGCTTGCAGTCATGCCCCTAAGAGCACTCCTGCCCTCTCTTCCCTGGAGAAGTTACTAGGTCTGCTGGGTCTAGTTGGAGCTGTGGAAGATCTGCCACTGATTTCTGTGGCCGTGGATCATTGCCTCAGTTTCCCTGTCTATAAATAAGACCTTTAATAAGGGCATAGTCTCTCCAGGGTGTGGAAGGGATACTGAGCACCTGAGATGAATGCTGCTATCTGATGATACCGTGATTGTGGGCAATGACACGACAGCTGAATCTGCAGATATGAAGTAAGGCTGTAATTTCTGATTTCACTGTTGTCCCACTTCCAGGTAGGGAAATGGAGCTGGTTTTGCAACAAAGCTACCACATTCAATCTTCTTAACCTTCAGTCTGGATAGCTGCAAAGAAGAACAGAAGAATTTTAGGGTTAACGTTTTAACTTGGCTTGATACGCTCCACAGTAGCAGGGAAATAAACTACCTTCTTTGGAGCACTTTACTCCTGACATACAACCCATTCCTCATTTAGCAGATGTAATTCTGCAGGCTGTGTACATTGTTTACATAACAATGAAGATGTGAGGAGGCACACAGGTCTTTACCAGGGAAAGCCACCAACAGCAGAGACCCTTTTTTAAGAGGGTCCATCATGGATGCTCTCCTAGAGTAGGAGACCATCCTAGCATGGGATTAGCCATGTATGACATTAGGCATAGCTTTACTAGCAAACTTTATACTCTTAATTGTCGCTCTGTTTCCTGGCAATTCTCAAGTAATAATGTCAATAGATATCAAACCTTAAGTGCATAAGACTCAATTATTATCTTGCAGAACACAGGGGCTGCTCAAATCCAGACTATGAGCTCACAATCTGCTGTTTACTTAAAGTATATAGAAAGCACTTGACCTCTTCTCAGTGGCATCCATGTGGAAACACTCAACAATAGAGGCCTTCCTTGGTTTTCTTAGGAATCACGTTTCAACATTTTTATCTCCTCTAATTAAGGTCAGTGGTTCATACACTCCCACTTCTCTCCTCACCCCACTCTCCCAAAATTGCAGGCACTTATCTGGCTCCAGTTACCCCGTATGAAGCATACTGGGCCCAATTTGTGCATATGCAGTTCCTGGGGGGAGTGAACAGTCACGGAGATGTGGGGCTCTGCTAAACCAAACGCTGTGTCTGTGCTTTTATGTTCACGTGCTCCTCTACCACGATGAGCAGCAGAGTCTCATGGTGAGAAGAAAACAGGAGGCGGGGGGTGGGATTGCTGCAAATGTAATTCCACTACGAGAATATTTCCTAACCCACAGCACATGTTCCCACCCAGTGGGGAAGGTGTGAGCGAGTTCTGAAGGAGGACGGTGCAGAGCGAATCTCATCTCCCTTTGCAACACTGTAAGTGCTAATTGCAGGCGGGAGGGAAGGGTGTAACTGGTAGACGTCTAGGAGAAAGCCTGGGGAATACAGCACAAGGGCTCATTTTGTCATTGAAACCCAGGAGTGCTTCACATCCCAGCGTCCCTGGAAAGATGCACTTGGACACTGCTTTGACTCAAGCCCTGACTGCATCTTGGTGCAAACCTTTGTGTCATTCATAGGGCACTACTGAGGAATGCTAATGCATTGTGTCCACATGGTAGAGACCAGCTTCCATTTCATTGTCAAGGCTGAAATAACACATCCCACTGGATATGGGGCCTGTGGGGACAGCCCTGGTAGCTTTTCAGAGTACTATATATCCTGCTTAGAAATTATCTTTTCTACTAAAAAGACTGTTTCTTTTATCATTATTATTATTGTTGAATAGGTAGTAACTATACATGGTTAACAGTGAAAGGGAGAGGTTTGAGAAATAAAACTGTATCTTGATAGAAGTCATATATGTAAAACCAAAACCAGGCCAGGCAGCTGCAGACCTCAGTATTTATTTAGGCTTGTAGCTGATGTGTTGCACTCTTCCTCTTTAGACTGACTTGTTCTCATTTCTCACACATTACACCGTATCCTTGTCAGAAAAGAGCCAATGCTGTCCTTTTGTTGTTGTTAAAAAACCAGAACACACTAACAGAGTTGTGCGCTACGTGAGATTGTGCTGACCCTTGAAAAGGCAGGTCTGCAAGCCAGCTCCTCCATGCCTCCATCAGCACATGCTTCCAGCCTAACCCCTTGTGCTGCGCTCAGCTATGGGTACAGGAACAGGACACCCATTTCCTGTAGAGAATAACAGCCCCAAAACATCATTTCCCCTTCCCTCGTGCTGGTTTGTAAACAGAATACCTGTTTGCTTCTAAGGGTGGAGCAGGGCAGCCTGTGCTGCTGCGGAACCGGTGCAGTGCTGTGGGTTCCTCACCCCAGTGGCACAGGGATGGCGTCAGTAGTTCCTGGTGACAGAGAGATGTGTTGGAGCACAGAGGACATTTCCACATCTTCAGGGATTTCACACAACAAGGTTAGAGTTTTGTTTCCCCTGGAACTGAAATTAAACCGCTCTGGAGCTGGAAACCAACTCTTGAAAATCACTGCCAGCAGAGCAGGCCAGGAGGAGAAAAAATACAGTATCCCAAAAGTGAGCTACACGGTGACTTTTTAGTAGCAGACAAACTATATTATTACTTAGTACCTGGTTTGTTATGTAGAGGGCTGGGTTACACATCTTCTGTTTAGTTCTGTAACTGACCATGGCACTTCAGTGGCTCCGTATTTCATTTCTGCAGCACTTTCTTGACTCCTTTTGGGAAACCCTTCATATTCCTGCCAAAATACAGTCACTGGGGACTGCTCAGACATCCTCATCTCCCCCTTGGATTTAAGCTCCATCTTTTTTGCAAGTATGCTGTGAGTTTTCTCCATTGCTGGGATATGTGTTATCTTGTTCAGTTGCATTTAATTTTGCATCAATTTGCATATTCTCGTCCTGGGCTGAATCCGTTGAGATTTTCCCATGACACATTTTGCCTCTGCAGTTCCCAGAACACATGTCCCTTCTGCTGTGGCAAGAGCTTCATCTTTCTCTTTGGGAAAGTGTCAGTTCAGACACGGTCTCTTTCAGTTTGGTAGGGATGAAACTCAAAGTCCTTTCTCACTTGAGTCTGTTGGCTTGAGCAAAAGGTTGTGGTGCGTGCCATGTCACTGGTTCGCTGTTGGGTATTTTGTGCTTTCATTAAGGCTGTTTCTACATTCACAGCTCTCACCTATAACAGGAGAAACTAATATTAATGCCAGCCTAATTTCCTTCAGATACAGTGAGGAGCAGTGCATGAGCAGAGGTGATGTTCTTGGGTATTGCAGTAACAGGGGTCACAGGAGCTAGATAGGAAAATAAAGCAGAAACTACTCCAGGCTCTCAGCTGCCAAGGATTAGGGTTCATTTTCAGATCTCTACCTGTTGACAAACGGGGGGAGTTACTACCATGTTTAAGAGCACCCACCAACCCCAGCCTCCCAGCTGAAAGGAGGGTGTGAGCGGGTCTAACAGCACAGGGAACCTTATCTCTGTCACGGTGAAAAATCAAAGGCACGTTTCCAGCTGTGCCCGTGAGCATTATTTGGTCACTGAACAAAGCAACTGGCACCTCGTATCCAACCTACGGAATGATCACAGCCTGGTTCAGGTGCACAAACAAGTGCAGAAATGAGCTCCATGCACAGAACTCGTCGTTATTCAATCAAGCCTTTAATTGTAAATGTTTTAAGCAAGGAATTGCCCTGTTTTATGAAAGTGTGCTCAGCATTACTCCACTGCAGACATCTGTCATTCAGCAGGCACCACCCAATAAAAGTGCTTAAAATGTTCTGTTCCTCAATTAAAATATAAACCAGAGCTGTTTAAGGGCTTTTACGAGGTGATTTCTATTTACCTGACAGATTTCCACACTGGAGGAGTGTGAAGCGGGATTTCAGGTTCTGATCAGAAGTGACGGCTCCACAGCAGAGTAAAGCTTCAGTTGTTCTAATTCATTCCTTTTTTTGTTAATTTCAGGAATAGTAAAAATCCATAAAGAAGAAGGAAATTGACATGCCAGAGCAAAGCTCAGAACTAGGAAGGGTTGATGCTGATCATGGACACTGTACTCCCCAAAAGGAGTCAGGCTTCGGCCCTGGGATTCTGTGCTGAAGGAGCCTGTGTCACACCTGCTGGCCTCTTCTTCCACATTTCATCTGGCAAAACACAGGTAAAAGTGCTCTGCTCCTGTCTGAAACAGCCTCTTAGGAAGAGGAATGAGACCATGGCGAGACAAAATCTCCCATTTCCCCTGATGAAACACTGCATGAATGTTCTCATGGTTATTCCATTGCACATGGAGATCTCATCTCCTGTTCCACCTTACTATGGCTCTGAACAAAGACCTTTCTTTTTTCCTCCTGCTACTCAAGCAGGAGTGGACCTTACACTGAAAACAAGTACTTTCTCTAAAAGACAAACCAAACTTGTACCTCTCCTTGTTCCAGGGCCTCAGAAACTCTTCACTGGCATATAGAGATGCCATCTGCCAACAGCAGTGTCAGGACAAGAGGACTGTACCCTTTCAAGACAAAGAGTTCAATGCTGAACCTTAAATCCGAGCCTTCTGCTCTTGCCAGGTAACAGTTTTTGGACTGATTCACTCTGTCTTATACTGCCATTAAGCCATTGTGTCACCCTTCATTACACCAGGGTCGCAGCTGGTCTCCAGCAGTGCAGGCAAGCAAAGGACAGAGCCTGTGGTCCTCCCTGTGGCTGCTTTTGGATACCTGCATGTAATGACCCTCACACCAACACAAACTGGGATCTTGCAGGTATGGGAAAAGAGGCTTATCCTTGAACAACACTGCTCAGAAAATGCTAGGAAGTTCTACATTAGTCCTTAACTGTTGTGTGGGTTTTCTGCCCCTCCAGCAGCAGCAGGATGAAGCATTAGCCACAGCAGTGATACCCCCCCCGTCAGTTTTTCATGTTATTTATATGTACCCTTTTGTAAGCATATCAGTTACACAAATAAGTTCTCAAGTGCTCAGCCACTCAATACAGCCACACAACAGAGGAAAGAGTCCAGATTAACATGGAATCACACATGTGCTGAACATAGCAGGGGACAGGAGTAAATAGTTACAGGTACAATTCAAAGCCACGTCTTAAGAACTTTCTGTTTTGTTGCAAGGCAGCACTTCAAGCTATTAAAAATAAACCCTGCATTTTAATTTCCAAGGTGTAGCAGCCAGAGTATGTCAGAGTTATTCTTAGCCATGGCAGAATTGCCATCTTCAGGCCACTTTTGAACACACCAGATTATTCCATGCTAATCCAAAATCCAGTGCAAGCTCCTCCCTCCCCTCTGTTCATTTTACCCTTTGCATTATGAATGCTGTGGGTAAGGACTGCCTGTTTCACAGGGGGCTTGGTATCACAGCAAGCTGGTTGTTGATCTCTGGATGCCTGCAGGCCAGCAATCTGTGCTACAAGTTACCCCTCTTAAAAAAAACTCACAAAAAAGACAAGTGGATAAAACTGATGGCAGCATCTGTAACAGGCTAATTGGGCCCTTGTGGGCAACACAGCAGATACAAAATTAAAACAAACAAAACATCACGTTGTACAACTGTACTTTCAGGACTGTTATCACAAAGGAATCCGCCTGGATTTTTATTTTAGGTTTGTTTTGGTTAAAAGGACCTAATTATGGCCAGAGCTGGAGTATCACAAGTCTGTTTTCATCTATAAAGAAAGGATATTTTGCCTCTGAACCTGAGAAATTGTTAGAAGTTGGTAATTAGTATGACTTGTTAATAGAGTTTGGCTGTGATTAAGCTGTGATTGAGTGTGAGTTTGGTTCTTGTCAATGTGAATGCCTGTAAGGTTGAGAGATGTTTAATGAGACACCTGTTGTCAGCAGCACCCGGTGGTGCTGTGCCTGACTGGAATCTGTACCGCCGAGCGGGACCCGAGTGTAGGGGAGGGTCAGACCCACTGGGTACATGCACCCAGCTGCAGAGGGCTGCCCCTTGGTGGTAACAGCCTCACCCCCTCCAGCACAGCCACAGCCTGTGCTCCAGTGCACCGGGGCTGGGTTGTGGTGGTTGGTGTGACACATCAATTACATTTGACCTGGGGAGTGCAACAGGCAAAACATGTTGACATCGTAATTTAGTCACTCTGGGATGTTGGCCTCTGCCACAGTGTGATGGTCCGTCTTTGGGAGGAGGCAGGGGAGAGGTTGCAGCCAGGCAGGTCTAAGCACACACACACACACAGAATATCCAGCCCTTGGGTAGCCTGTAATACTGGGTCTCTTTAAAATGTGACACTGATGGAGAAAGGTTCTGCACAACCCAACCCTTGTTTGTCCTTTCCTTTGGGCACTATCCTACAGGAAAAACATCCCACTGAGTGACTTTAGTAACTCCTGGGCTTTGGACACAGAAAGTTTCATTCACAGGCTATATTTTGTGTCAAAAATCAGCATAATTTTCCACATGACTCCATGTAACCCCTCCCCACTCCAAAATTCAGGCATGATGATAGATGTGTGTATTTGGACTTCATACATAAAACATTTCCCCCAAAATGTCTATTAAAGTGGCTGCTACTTAAAACACACCTGGGTTTTACATGCAAAACCCAAAGAAGCTGGAAGCAATCAAGCTGGCCGCTGTCACAGTCTTTTAGTATCTGAGAAATGCCTTAACTGGGAACAGGAGCTGAAGCATTTCGGCTTGTGTAATGTCCTTCAGGAAGGAGCCATTGGCTTTGTGATGAATCTGAGCAACCACTGGATGGCATTGCTCTACACGAATGTACCTGCGAGCGCAGGCGGTGGAGCCAGAGCAGGCTGGTGTGCCAGGGAGATTAATTCAAACCCGGGATGCTCAGGCCACCGTGACCTTGCCCATCCTTTAAATAATACACAGACCTCTCTTAGCTGTCTGGCTGCGACCTCCGGATAGAGAGTTTGGTCAGAGTGAACAAAGCCAACATCCTGAAGCACACTTACTACTTAATGAGTGCATTTTGTTATAGAACAAACAGCCAGGTTTTAATGCTTTTCCTTCTTGTGAGATGGGAAAATGAGTTGTTTGTACTTTAAGACCATATCAGACAATCTCAGGACAAGCCCAGCCAGCGAGCCATGACTTGACCAAAGCCCTGATGCTGCAGATGTCAGCTGGCCAGGCAGCTCCGCTCCCCAGGGCTCACATGGAGGGAGTCAGCTAACACTGGCTGAGCAGTGTGTGGTGTGAAAAGCAAAACTAAAGCAAAAAGAAAAAAAAAATGGGATGTCCAACATGTTCTATTTTGATGTGGGCTTGGGAATGCTGAGACCAGGTTATTATCCCAAGTGCGGTGCCTCTCCGTGTGACAGCAGCCTCTCAGCGTGTGTTAATACAACTTTGCCTCCTGCTACATCACTTCCTGATAAGGAATCAGCTGGTGGCCAAATAACCTGATGTTCATGTTGTCCCCCGTGGGTCTGTGTCTCTTTCATTAACAACACTCTGTGTTGGCCTGGTTCTTTTGGCAACTGCATCTGGCCAAGCCTATCTGAAAATGTCACTGGCCCAGTTTGCACCCAAAAGAAATCTGCTGATGGCTGTGGAGATGCAGCAGGATATTTGGAACTGCAGCCCCACAGAAAATGTATTTGAAAGGAAATACAGTATTTGTGAGGGTCAAATTTGAAGTCAGTTGACAGTCATAGGCAGCATGTATCTTCAAACTAGGATATAACTCATCATCAAGTGAGTACTTGTACACTGGCTGTTAGGTAAAGCCACTCTGGGCACACATTGCCTATTAGTATTGCCCTGGTTTGACCAGTCTAATAAATTTAATAATCATAGTCAATTAGATAACTCCAGTTACAACAGGAGTAAAATTAGATCAGTTCAAGTCCTACAAAAGCCCCCTACACTGCCAGTTCTCAGTTCTGTACTCATGTCCCTGTGTTGTGTTGCACTCAGCTGCCTTTTTAAGTACAGGAGAGGCAGAATGAGTAACTTGCTTTATAAACTAAATTTACATATATAAGTATTTTTTCTATGAACCCATTTGTCTCCTTCTGCACCTACCTCCTAATCCAAAACCCAAGAGAACTGTATCCATCTTGACCTGCTGCCTACTGGCAGATGCTTTCTACTGTCAGAAACACTTAGGCTCAGTGGGCAATTGCAGTTATCTCCCCAGTGGGCTGTTCAGGTCCCACTTTGGGTGGCCACCACTCTGCTACAGTGACTTCAAGAGGAGGCAAGGGCAACTGGTGTTGATTAACTGCTTAATGTCTCCAATTAGAAGCTGTTGCTTCCCATAGGAAGACCTCTAGGACATGACACCAGCCTTAAGTGGGATGAGGAAAAGGCAATTTGTTGCCAACTTCAGCACCTCAGGGCTGTGTTTGAACACAGGTGGGATAAATGTGAATATCTACATTTATTTAACAGTCAAGGAGCATAAAGGCTAAGAAAAAAGAAGGGTCTTCCTGTTTCTCCTCAATGCAGAACAGGCTATGTCTGGAAAAGATCCCCTTGGACCCAGCATTCATGAGGGTCCTGACTGAGGTGCCCACTGCTGTGCTGGCTGTTTTAAGGCAGATCTGTACAGGCAACCCAATCTTTCTAGAGTCAGGGCAACTCCCCAGACCTCCCAGAAGTCAGGGTGACCTTGGGCACTGCAGGGCAGTCCAGAACAGTGGCAGGCAACAGGAACTGAGGAAAATTCAATTCTAGAGTAATTCCAACGCATTACAGAACTCTCAGGAGAAATGAGCTGTACCTGCTGGAGCAGCTCGTTGTGTTCAGTGGCACAGTGTAACAGGGGATCTGTCACTGTCAGCACTGCTCCCGTCTCTCTGGAAGCCATGGTGCCTTTCACACCACTCCATACAAATCCAAGCCAGCTGTCCCACCTGATGGAGCAGCTTCTATTCTGAGCTCTGCTGTCTGCAGGTATTGTGCTTATTGATTACCTGTGGCTTATTGTCCCCTGACATTGTTAGGGAATATGCTCCTGCTTACGATCACTACAGCTGACACAGACTGTTTCAGACCTGGCTGCAGCCACCTGGCTGCCTCTCCAGGTCAGAGAGCAGTAGGATTGGTATGAAACGAAAAGGAAGCTAAAAAAGGAATGTTGAAGTCACCCAAGTCAGAAAAGACTGGGGGCCTCCCTGATTCTAGCTGTCAATAAGGTGTTAGATAGGGGAAGATTAACACCCTTTAGCAATGACACAGCTGTTCCATTGAAGGTGATAACATGCAATCAGGGGAGGGAAGAGTCTAGCACAGAATAATGAACAGAGCAAGCAGATATTAGCAACAGGGAAGTTTTTAGCCCAAGAAGCTAAAAAAGCTTCTTCAAGCTGATTATTTTAGTGGATATAAATAAGTATAAAAAGCCTCACTTTAGGTCTGCAGAAGAAGCTCAAATATTTACCCCTCTTTTTAAAGTCAGACTGGCTCCTAAATAGTGATAATGTAGAGAGTAAAATCTCTTATCTGGCTTGGCAGTGAGCATGCAGATAAACACAAAGCTCCTTACCCTAAAGATGGCACGTAGCACTGGATGTCTTCCTCTGAAAGCATAGGAAGTTGTGATGAGAGTAATTTTGGGA